CAGCAAAAGATTTATCTCCTAGAATTCAAAGTCAACAGAAAAGGCTATACTATAAAAACAAATTTACAGTAAAATAATTTTATCTTTTGCCCTTGAATGTCATCACACACCCATACTGTGACTGAACTATATATACACCAAATACTAAAATACATTACTAACCCTAACCCCTCAAGAGAATAACACGTTTGTTCTCCCCAACCAGTTTCTCTCCATAATTAGCTTGTGGACATGTGACTGTTTTCATTTCATTTAAAGCAGGGGTGCCCAAACTCGGTCCTGGAGGGCCGGTGTCCTGCAGAGTTTAGCTCCAACCCTAATCAAACACACCTGAAGCAGCTAATCAAGCTCTTACTAGGCACACTAGAAACTTCCAATCAGGTGTGGCAAGCTGGAGCTAAACTCTGCAGGACACCGGCCCTCCAGGACAGAGTTTGGGCACCCCTGCTTTAAAGGATACTTCATGTGGACATCAGAAAGATAACAGGAACTTATGACACCGACTTATGAACTGTAGTTATAACTAATAAGAGGTATAAAGAAAAAATGAAATATAATTAATAGCACCTTGTAGAGTTTACCTTCATATTTGCTCCATATTTATCTTGCACTGAAACACTCATTATCCAGTTCAAAATTAAAGTCTGCTAATCAAACACACCTGAAGCAGCTAATCAAGCTCTTACTAGGCACACTAGAAACTTCCAATCAGGTGTGGCAAGCTGGAGCTAAACTCTGCAGGACACCGGCCCTCCAGGACAGAGTTTGGGCACCCCTGCTTTAAAGGATACTTCATGTGGACATCAGAAAGATAACAGGAACTTATGACACCGACTTATGAACTGTAGTTATAACTAATAAGAGGTATAAAGAAAAAATGAAATATAATTATAATTAATAGCACCTTGTAGAGTTTACCTTCATATTTGCTCCATATTCATCTTGCACTGAAACACTCATTATCCAGTTCAAAATTAAAGTCTGCTGTAACCCATTCAGTTTAAGTTCTGCATAATATTAATATACAATCACAAAAACCAAATGCACAGATCAAATATGATCCTTAATTTCTGTGGACCAGATGAGACCACATACACACTTTAGACTGAAACAGGTTAGTAATATGGCAGTGTTCGGCAATCAAATAATCAAAAACAGACATTTGCAGCAGAGATGGGCACCTGTTCAATCAGCAAACAGTGTTTTTATACAAGTTTAAAGGTGCAATAGGACATCTTGGAAAAGCCTAACTTTAGCCTGATAGTCCCTCCCTCCCTGCAAATCTCTGTCCAAAGCCACGCCCCCTGAACGCTCACAGACAACATTATTACAATACATCACGTGTCATTCACTGGTGAGAAAACTTCAGAATACAGTTAGCAACAGTACTACAATACCTGGAAGGAAGGTCAGGTTGTTGATGTTTGCCGTCACTCTCACGGTCTGCGTCGAGTACGTGAACAGGCGTTTCTGAAGACAATCACCTATTGCACCTTTAACACGGTTAGTCTTTATCACTGAACATTAATGAAATCAATACTTCGAGGACACTCAAGGTTGACAGTGAAACCTTTATTAATACACAAAGCACCAAAACATGAACTTAGCGCTTGCCACCAACACGAGGAGCATTGACCTTCATGGGCTTGGAGATTTTTTGTTTGGCTGCGGCTTTAACAGGGGCCTAAAAACAACACAAACACGTTACTGACTACATGAAGGACAATCAAACGCAAGGATTTACATTTGGTTTGCAATAATGTGTAGGGCTACAAATGACACTGAGCACCCATTATTAAGGGTACTAGGTGTAGACATAGTCCTTCTACTCTATGCCACCTTATGACACAGAAGTGACAGAATCAGTCACACTGCAACGCCTCAAGGGGCAAAAAAACAATCACACCACACTAAATACATCCCTTACAAAAGATCAAGAGCTGAAGAGTAACTCATAGCCTTCACGTTTTGTACAATTCTTAAAGAGATGGGTCACCCAAAAAAACAAAAATTAGCCCATGATTCCCTCACCCTCTAGCCTTCCTAGGTGTTTATGACTCTTCTTTCAGACATATCCAATCAGAGTTACATTAAAAACATGTCCTGGCTCTTCCAAGCTTTATAACAGCAGTGAATGTCGATATTCAATAGTCCAGCAGAAATTCAATAAACTACGTCCATCCATTATTATAAGTGCCTCGCACGGCTCCGGGGGTAAATAAAGGCCATCTGAATGAATCAATGCCTTTCTACAAGAAAAACTTCCATATTTAAAACTTTATAAACCCTAACCTCTAGTTTCCGCTTGGTGTCATACACGCGCGAGAGAGAGAGTGTGGTGGGAGGAGCTTGGAAGAGCCAGGACATTTTTAATATAACTCTGATTGGATTAGTCTGAAAGAAGAAAGTCATATACACCTAGGATGGCTCGAGGGAGAGTAAATTATGGGCTAATTTTCATTTTTGAGTGAACTATCCCTTTAAAACCATCTCTTACCTTGGTGCTCTGAGTGGGTTGTTTCTTAGTTGCCTGCTTCGCCTTCTTGGCCTCCTTGGCAGCCCTGAAACATCGGATCAAACACAGTTAGAAAGGAAATGTTTAGTTTTGTTTGCACTCGTCTCAGTGTGTTAACCAGTCACAGACCTGTGACACACAAAGCCAATTTAAGATTTTAAGAACTGTACTTCTAAAAGAAATTACTTTACGGGTTACGTTTTTGAATCTAACATCTAGAGCCAAAACACACCGTCACTTATTCATACCCGACCCCACAATGACGTCTGAAGACCGTTAGAAAAGCAACTTGAGATTAACAGATATTACATGAAAACATTGTTAAAGTCAATTAAAAGCATTAAAGTGGTTTAGGTAAAGATTTAAGAAAATATTTTTGTACTCTTCATCTCAGAGTGTTCTCAGAGTTCAGCTTCAACCCCAATCAAACACACCTGATCAAGCCAATCAAGCTCTTCAGAATTACTAGAAAAATACAGGCAGGTCAGTTGGAGCTAAAACTGCAGGACAGTGACGCTTCAGGGTCAGAGCTGCTGCGTCAAACACGCAGCGCAAACTTGTCATGAGAAGTTAACCGTGCAAAACCAGCTGCATAACCACAAAAACACACATTTGACCATCTATGACTACAAAATAAGAGCGATGGACAAAGCATAGGGAACCGGAGGCGCTCACCGGATGGCCTGCTCTCTCTGCGCTTTACGCACTTCTGGCTTCTGGTTCCTCTTGGCCAGAATCTCAGCCAGCGAAGCACCGGTGATGGCCCGCTGGAACTTCACCGCACGACGGCTGCGCTTCTTACTCACCTCTTCCTAAAGCAGCAAACACACATCCTGATTCAATCACTCAACATGCATTAGACACAAAACATCTGCTGAAAAAACACTAGAACCGGCTCTGTAGTCATTTAAACCGCTCTCTAATGCTCTAACCCCGCATCATTACACACCAGCAGTGTTGGGCTAGCTACTCAAAGAATGTAATTTATTACCCAGTAGTTACTCCTTCCAAAAGTAATGTTACTTTACTCATTACTTTCTGGCAACAGTAATTAGTTACACTACTAGTTACATTACTTTTTCTTCACGCCCCACAGAAGATGTAACGGTGTATCTTCCACAAAATTCTTAATCTGGAATGTTACTAACGACATATTTCTGCCTCATTATTTGACCAAAACCCACACTGGATCGCAGTCAGAAGTGATTACAGGCACTCGTTAGTGATCGAGTGACATTTAAGAAGTGTTGTATTAATGTAATTAACTGTCATGTGTAGCTTGAAGCTAATTGTCATTTCTCCGTTACCCATATACGATTATATTTCATTATGTATTTTAACATAAGTTTGTAAGAAAATGTTTAATTTTCCAAAAAGATGTTTACTTCTAGTAATATAACGTAGCACATGCTGGTCAGAGTAAAGTACAGCCACAGCTTACACAACAGTGCTCAGATCATCTTTTTCCCCACAAAATCAATAATGCAATATTTCTATCTGCTGAATACTCCAGGCTTGCCTGCTGCAGCAACCCATGCACGTGCGAGTCCTGACAATTATGAAAATACATCTAGGAATTATTTGCTTGTTGGGTTTTAAATCAGCAGGGTTGAGGCACCAAGAGTAACAGCTGTTTTACGGATGTAACTAATATTACTGAAATCTCATTAGTAATTAGTTACAGCCCAGCAGAACACGGTCAGGGTTAAGGGTCAGGGTCAGGGTTAGGGTCAGGGTCAGGCCCCAGTGTTGGTCACTCACAGACTGGCCCTTCTTGTGCTTGCGGCGGTACAGAACCGTCCAGTTGATCTGTCTGGGGTTCCTCTTGGACAGAAAAGCAGACTCGCACTTCGCATTCAGGAACTGGAACACCTGCAGAGCGACAGGATCGCAGCACAGATCATCAGAGTACAGCGGACTCTCCGCAGGCCACAGAGAAGCTCTGGTCAGGACAGGTTAGCCATCGTGCTAGCGCTAGGCCAAATCACCAAATAAAGCCTGCCAGGCGTAAATATTCACATCTCGACACGCTGAGAGTCCTTCATTAATCGATAATCACGGATTAAAACACTGCTGTGGCACTAAACACGAGCACAGTTCGCGCTTTTACCTTTCCGTCGATCCTGGCGTAGCGCCGGCCGTGGCCGGGATAGATCTTGTACCCGCTAAAACTGCACAGCTCGACCCTGCACATCAAAAATAAGAGTTATAATAGCTACATCTGACTTAGTATTAACATCTGAATACTTCTGCAAGCGCTTTTCGCGGATAACTTCACAGATGTTTATGGATGAACACAGACTCACTCACTTCATGGCGGCGCTTCAGACAGGGAAGAGGAAGAGGAATTGTGGGTACGCGGTTTATAAAGGAGCTTATTTCGCAAACATAAATTATTTTTTCAAAGTAAACATAAAATCTATGTATAATTATAGCCTGCGTTATTATAAAAATATCCAAAATTATGATTATTTCCAGATTATTTTATCCAATCAAATAGTGTCTCGGTTGCCTGGCGGTGACGTCAGCGGAAGTATGGCGGCGCCGGCGGAAGCGATCTTCTCCGATCCGCTGCTCCAAACCTCACATTACGAAGGTCTGCGCAATAAAACCCGTTCCTCCGTGAGATTGATTAGATGAGCATGTGTTTCCGTTGCAGACAGACAACATGCTTCTATCGTGTGTGCGGAATGTCACGCTTGTAGCGCAGCGTGTGGAGATCCGGACGAACTTGACGTCTGGCATGTTTTTGTCATAATGTGCTGAAATCTGCCGTTATTACACCCACTACTGGAAGCTTTAATCTTCGCGTTCTTCTGAGTTCACGCAGCATTCTCTCCAGTTGAAGTGTGTCATCAGTGTAGATGTGTAGCTCCTCAGAGTTTGTCCTGTGCTCTTATTATTCAGGTCCAGGTTTGTTAAACCTTTCGAATCAGGGTCTCCACAGACTGGATCCGCAGTGGTTCAGTCCCGGCGAGCTACACACGCTGATTCTGGACCAGAACCAGATCATCAAGCTGGAGCACCTGGAGCGCAACGAAGCTCTGCAGCAGGTTAGCTGTGTTCAGTACAGACGTGTGTGTGTGTGTGTGTGTGTGTGTGTGTGTGTGTGTGTGTGTGTGTGTGTGAGTGTGAGAGAGACCTGCTCTGTGTTCACACTAGCCTTCAGCTGTGGTCAGTACAGACGTGTGTGTGTGTGTGTGTGTGTGTGTGTGTGTGTGTGTGTGAGTGTGAGAGAGACCTGCTCTGTGTTCACACTAGCCTTCAGCTGTGGTCAGTACAAACGTGTGTGAGTGTGAGAGAGACCTGCTCTGTGTTCACACTAGCCTTCAGCTGTGGTCAGTACAGACGTGTGTGTGTGAGAGTGTGAGAGAGACCTGCTCTGTGTTCACACTAGCCTTCAGCTGTGGTCAGTACAAACGTGTGAGAGTGTGAGAGAGACCTGCTCTGTGTTCACAGCTGTCTGTGGCCTGTAATCGTCTGGTGCGCATGATGGGCGTCTCAAAGCTGACTCACTTACGAACCTTGAACCTCCCCAACAACAGCATCGGCTACATCGAGGGCCTGAAGGACCTGCTTCGTCTGGAGAGCCTCAATCTGGCTGGAAACAACATCAAGGTGTTTTTCACATTTACCATGTATTTCACTGAAACTGAGGCTGATTCCTCCTGAATCTGTGTGTGTTTGTGCAGGTCACCGAGCAGCTCAACAACTGCGTTTCCCTGCAGCATCTTGATCTGTCAGACAATAATATTTCTCACATAGGAGACCTCACCAAGCTCTCAGTGTTAAAGGTATTTGCCATTTGTCTTGAGCGCTAAATCATGGGTAATCTCTCATAATGTGTTAAGAGAAATATTTTTAGGAAAACACAGAGAAAACAGTGATTGTGTAACCGATATTTAAGGCCTGTTTCAGACTCTTCTTCTGCATGGAAACATCATCACGACGCTGCGCAGCGCTCCTGCTCACCTGCCAGCGACCCTCACTGTGCTGTCGCTCGCAGAGAACGAGATCAGAGACCTGAGCGAGGTACAGCGCAACACACAGACCGTGCAAACGCCTTCATAACATTTGAGCTTCTGGACTAGCAACACCGTCCTCAGCTGGTTTTGTTCATTTATTGTTTTGCTTCATTTCAGCTATGCGTTTATCATCAGCTTGTGCATCAGTTTGACAAATTCAATTCAAGTTTATTTGTACAGCGCTTTTCACGATACAAATCGTTGCAAAGCAACTTTTTCAGCAAATTAAGTTTCTACAATATTTAGTGGTAGCTTATCAGTGGTGACTCTCAGTTAATGTACATATGGCAGAAATGTACGGAAAAATCAATTTAAGACGTAATCAAACAGACGATGAACACTATTAACAGCAATTATTATATGATGCAATCAAACTTATAGCAAAATGTGGTAGTTCTGTATGTTGTTTCAGGGTTGGCATCATCTGAGGTCCTCTGAGGGGTTGCATCATCTCTTCTCAGGTGTTCTGGATCCAGACTGAAGCTTGTGTGAATCCTAGTTACCACGGGATGTTAATCTCAGCAGAAACAGAGAAACACATAGAGACATAATTAGCGTAGCTGCTGTTCCAACCAAGCAAAAATGATTTGTTTAACTAACGAATAATAATGTGCATTTGATTAGATATAACTGCAGTACAAGATTATGAGATGCATTATTTGAATGCTTGGCCAAAGAGATGTCTTTAATCTAGATTTAAACAGAGAGAGTGTGTCTGAACCCCGAACGTTATCAGGAAGGCTATTCCAGAGTTTGGGAGCCAAATGCGAAAAAGCTCTACCTCCTTTAGTGGACTTTGCTATCCTAGGTACTACCAAAAGTCCAGAGTTTTGCGACCTTAGGGAGCGTGATTGATTGTAGCGTTGTAATTGTCAAATTGACAGTTCTTATTTTTTTATGGAATATTGCCATATTTAGAAATGATTTATCTGTGCACACATCATGTTTTAAATTCATGTG